AGCAGTAGAAGAGGGAAGATCAGGGAGCTCAGTTAGGAGGTGCAGGAGGTGCTGGGTACTCTGAACTTGAGTCAGTGGTGGTGGAAATATAGCAGAAGTTTTTTGCTGATGAGATGTGTGTGCTGGTGAAGAGAGAAGGCTTAAGGATGAAGTTTCTGCTTTGATCAACTGGGAGTACAGATTCACTGAGCCTGGGAATATAGGTTGAGGACAGGGTTTCCTGGGAAGATGATAAATTCAGAATTTGGCATGTTGAGTTTCAGGTCCTATAGGGCATCCAGGTAAAAATTTGGGGGGAAATCTAGACTTAGGAAAATCTCTGAAAAGTTCCTGTGAAACTGAAACTGTCATGTCTAATGAACTATTTTGACTCTTTTGAGAGATTGAATATATTCAAGAAACAAAACTACATTATCTATTGTCCTAGCAATTCATATTATTTTTGATGGGAAACAATCTGTTCATTTGACAGAAGGGTTGAGATTGCAAATGACTGTGTGGGGCTGTGTTTTAAGAGCTTAAAGGGTGTTGGCAGGAAATACTTTCAGTGGAGGGGAGGGGATTATTGAGAATCTCAGCAAAACTTGTTAGAAGATAACTTCTTAGAAGGATGTGGTGGTAGTTCCTGACTTCAAGATCTATCAGAACATGTTTGAAGATCTAGTGGGGCATTCTAATCTACCAACTAGACATGGATTCCTTTTCTCCTGTACCTAGCAGGACCTGGGAAGGTTAAGGACTGAGCACTAATGGGTGAGAAAGAGGCTTTGAGTTTGCTCAGGGTCTCTGGCTAATAACCAAGACCAGTGTGGTGATGATTTGTGTTTCCATAACTTCACTCAGAGTGGTCATTTGAAAAGAAGTTCTGGCTTCATTTTAAATAGAAGTATTATAATAGTCCACAGAATTTTAGAACCTAAAAGAATCACCCCAGAGTCTACTAACTTATTCACATGTCTATGCCCCTTTTCTAAACTGTGAGCTTATTAAGGGCAGTCACTCTGTTTCATTCACTTCTGTAATCCCAGTATGCCCTTGATACACAAGCCCCGCACTCAGGAACAGTGTGTTGAGGAATGGTTGAGTCCACTCCCTCCTTGTACATATATGGAAAGTGAGTACCAGAAAAGCTATGTGACTTGTACAGGACCACACAGCTTCTTTGGCAGAGCTGGGCGTGGAACCGAGGCTGTGGTTTGATAATGCTTTTCTTCAACATCCTTCACTGGACCCATCACCTCTTACAACAGGGGGTACTCAATACATGGCCAGAGTCTCTGACTATATGAGAAGAGACAGAATGTTCCTGCATAACTTTCCTCTGTTTATCAGCATTCCTCCTACCTCCTAGATGCATAGTAGACTCTTGAGATTAGTCTTCAGAGCTGGGAACACAGAATGCCAATACCCATCTGCCTATGAGATGGCGAGTATGCCTTTAAATCTACGCTGCAATTTGTGTTAACCTCAGTTTAGAGAAATCTCCAAATATCTCTTTCCACCAATAACTCACCATGGGTTTGTCACCCACGAATTAATCTAAGACGTTATTTGGGGGAAGGGAGAAGCTATTTATATTTTCGGTCTAATCCACCACTTGCTGTAAAGAGTTCCATATGTTGCCTCCATTTTCTACCTGCTGTGAGAAGTAGGGCTGCCTTTATTTGTCCTAAACTCACCTCTCTGGGCTATATGCTGGTAACGCATGCGCATACATGTACACACGCGCACATACACGCACACACACACACATGATTTAGGATGGAAAACGTTATCTTTGCTTACAAGCATATTAAAAATTCAGACAAAAGGAAGCTAAAGTAATGCAATTGAATGTGAGCACAGTGGCGGCTAATTACCCCAAGGAGAGGGATATAAATCCTTGACAAAATGGAGGCCCGTTGACTCAGGGATTGGTGGAAATAAATGAGAGGCCTGCTATGGAATCAGCGCCTGGCCAAGCACTGCCTGCAGTGAAGTTGAAGCACCCTTTAAAAGTCAGTGTGGCCCAGGAACATAACCTGTCAGCCTCCGCGCCTGACATGATCTTAATTAGCCTCTGTTCTACTGCCGCGAAAGCCCGCTGAGGCAGTTAGCACCAGAGAATTAATCAGATCGTTTGTGGAGGCGACAAAGCAGGACAGCAGCCGACACGGGCAACTTATTGATTGGAAAGGATCCAGAAAAATGGGGAGTGATGTAGTCTCTATCTGTGCCCCTCTTTTCTCTGAATGAAGATGCTCCGCAGAGGCTGTGGGGGGAAAAGAGGAGGGCAGGGCGGAGTGAACTGTGCTTCACCTTAACCTCTACCCCCACCCCTCCTCCGTAATTGCATTCTGTCTTCCTGGCTGCCACACACCTTGCTGCTAAGGCATCACGTGTCAGGGCGCTGATGCCAAACAATGTGTTTGACTGCAAGAGAGAGCGAGGGAGCACTGTTGATTTTGTTGCAAATTGCATTTTTGCTACAGGATTATTTGGGAAAATGGAATTTTGCCAGCATTCCCCTCCCTCTCTTTGTTTACTGCCTATTTTCAACAGCTCTGTAATTGCTTTCCATTTAGTAAAAGGAACATTGTTCCTTTTTTGGTTTTTCTTTTAATTGTGTTTCTTGCCCAGAGCACTGACGTTTGGGAGCGGTTGATGGGAATGCCATGTTGTTGCGGTTCTAGTCACCAACTTGGCCTTAGCAATAAAGGCAAGGTCATTGCCAGGGGAGGCAGTTGAGTGCTGGGCACAGAGAAATGTTTAAGTTCTTCCATAGAACTTGTGAGCTCTTTCTTATTTGGACTGCCAAGTAGTTCAAATCTCTATCACACTGAACTGGCTCTCATGCTGTATTGCACTTACCTTTACTTCATGTGCATTAATCCTATCCTGCCTCCAATCAGAATGTAAGCTTGTCAAAGCCAAAGGCTCTGCCTTCTGTTGAACATAGGTCCCAACACCAGTCTAGGCACTGAGACAGCACATGCTAGATTGGGTCATTGACAATCGCTTGAGGGGTTCCTGCAACCTTTCATCCACTCATACTAACGCTACCTTGCCACTATTGATATTTTGGTCCAGGTAATTCTTTGTTCAAATGGGAGTACGGTCCTGTGCATTGTAGGAAATTTAGCAGCACTCCTGGTCTCTACTAACTACTAAAAATGTCTCCAGATATTGCCAAATGTCCCTGCAGGGGGCAAAACCACCCCCCCTCTCCTGTTTGAGGACCACTCTTCTACCATGATAATAAAATAATGAGGTGAAGTTTATTAAGCACATTACGGTGCTGAAGACATTATTACATAAATTCCTTAGTTTAACTTCCATAACAACTCTGACTTGGTTTTAACTGTTGTTTAAAGGGGGGTCCCGGGGATGAACCTCAAAGTCACAGTTGTAGATATGTACATACTACAGTCTATCCCCCAAGGAGCATTTAGAATAGTCTTCTTGAGAACTTCTTAGGCTCAAACCCTGAATTGATAGGACACTTCCTTTGGCCTCACTGATGTAAAGGACCACCCATTCATTGGGAACTACACGTTCAGTTTAGTGAGGGTTAATCTGTCAAGGAGCATGGTGAAAAGCAATGGAAGGTCAGAGCAAAAGCAGCCCTGCCAACTGTCACCCTTTTTCCTGAGATGTGACCACTATTCCAAGCAACCAATGCAGGGCAGGGGCCTGGATATTTGTGTCTTCTGCGCCTGTGATGGAATTTTAGCTCAGGAAACAGAATTTTTAGCTTGCCCACTGACATGCCATTCCTACCCTGAATCCTGACCTGCTTCCTTGCAGACAACGCGATGGGTCGCAAGAACAACAGGGCAAAAAAGAGTGGACAAACCAGTGCCCATTTGTCCTTCTGTGGGGGAGAGCGGCTCCTCAAAGCACATCTCGAGACAGGAACACAATCTCTGAGCATGGACAACCCGAGAGGGAAAATTTGACATTTTAGCCTCACCTGTCTCTGGAGAGGAATGTATCTCTGGTTGTGAAGACAATTCAACTCCAAATTCAGTGCCACCAAGGAGTTAATGATACATTAAAATTAGCCATGTCATTTGATGGAGAAATATTCTACTTATGGAAAATACCTTTATAGGAAAACCGCCTTTCTGAGTCTGAGCTGGAAATATTACAGTAAACAGGATCTAATCACAGTGAAGCCTTTTTTCAGCTTTGCATGACAGCTGTAAAATATGACAGTATTTATTAATAGTTGCTGCAGTCTAATCTGCAGCATTGGAGAGCTCCAGCAAAATATGTTAAGCTACTGAGAGAACAATTTCCACAGTAACTAATATTCAGCTTTTGAAAGGGTAGTTTAATGTCTTGAGATTTTTTTTTTCCCTCTTCTGATGGTTCAACCCCAGGAACAGGCTACTAAGCTAATAACCTTTGTGGAGAGGAAGTGTTTAAATGATAATTTATTTCAAGAGCTGACAACAAATTGCTCGGCACTTTCTCTTTTTATGCCCCAAAGCAGTCAAGGATGTGCAAATCGAAGTATTAAAAAATATGACAGCTTCAGTATTTTCATTTTCAATGAAATTCTCATTATAGACATATGTACAGTCTTTTATTCACAATCCAGTCCAAACAGTCATTCACTATTATTATTGTGCAGGCTCTCCAAATGCTCTCATGGTTGAAGACTCATCACAATAGATTAGGAGGCTGCAGAAGCTACCAAATGTCTCAGGTGCTGTCAACCCCGATTATTGCTGCTCAAACAGGGGAATTTAGTATCTGTCTCTCACAGGGTAATGTACTCTCTGGGCCTTCGTAATTTATTCAGATGTAAAAAGTAGCTTGAGCTTCAATAAAAACTCTCTTGCCTTCACTTTTCCCAGAAGGCAAATGGACATGACTGGAATTTGAGCCATCTGTTACCTTCGCACACCCTTTAATCAGTTCTTACCAAGTCCATGAGCTTCAGCCACCCCCCTTTTTTCCCCCTTTTTTAAAATCAAGATAACTTCTACTCTCTTTTTTTTTTTTTTTTTTTGCTGAACCGATTTTAATAACATGACATAAAGCCCCTGCCCTTGAGTAACTATGACGCAAAATACACAAGGAACACTGTCTTTTAAAAAATACAAAATAAATAAGCAGGATGTCAAAATAGGCAAGTTTCCATTAAATAAAATGAGTTTTTTAAAAAGAAAGTTTACTTTCCATATCATTTGAAGAAGGGAAATTATCATTTTAAACAATATTCAAGTTTATTAAACAAATTTAAAAAGTATTAAAAAAATGTTTAACTTTCATCAGCTTCAAGGTTTATGTTGCTCCCAAATTTTGCATATAACTGAACTTTCAAATCTGCTAACACCCGCTGAATTGATTCCACTCTGGATTCTAAGGCATCAATTTCTTCTTGCAAATTTTTCTTTGCTTCTTCTAACATGTCTTGTGTTTCTTCTTGAGAATGACTAATGAACACATCGCCGATTTGATAAGGTATCATTAGGCAGTCGTCATCCGCAAGCATGATGTCCTCACAGGCATCTTCTAAATTCTGTAGTTGTTTCTTTTTTACGTCTATTTCTTCCTTTAGCTCTGTGATTCTACTTGTGTTCCGGGCAAATTTGTTTATCTTTTGCTGGTCTTCAAAAGTAACATTGACATCTTCTGCAGCCGCCTTCTTCATGGTGGCCGCCATCTTGGGACTGCACCAGGGCGCGGCGGGGGGCGCGGCGGCGCCTGGTCCCCGCGGCCCGCGCGAGCCCCGCCGGCCCAGGACGCCCGCGCGGCGCCGCCCCTACTTCTACTCTCTTTAAATCCCTGCCAAGTAGCCATGGCAGAACCTATCAATGGTCTCTCCTTGCTTTATGCTTCCCCAACCAAAAATAGCCCCTTTGTGATGAGGACCTGCAGGTTCAAATTCTTCTATGCTCTGGAAACTCTTTGCACCAGAAAGGAATGGATGAATTGGCTTTGCTTCCGGGTCAGGTCCCCAGCACGGCACTCCATGGGGACCACGGGCAAAATGACTTGTCTGGCAGCATTTATTGCTTTTGCTACTCATGTGAACCTTAACCTGGATTTTTGACCTGCTACCTGTCTGGAATCCTGGAACTCTGGGCCCTTAAACTCTCATGTTCACTTGTGGACACCAGGTTTTACGGAGGAAGTTGACAACTGGAGTGCGTCCACAGGAAGACAGCAAAGGCAGAAAGGCCTAGTAACCGGGTCCTTTCTGCATTACTTTAGCTTCCTTTTATCTGAATTTTTAATATGCTTGTAAGCAAAGATAACATTTTCCATTCCATCTTTCCAAGGAAAGATGAACGGCAGAGGTAATCACAGTTTTCAGTGTTCAAAGTGTGGGAGGCAGCGTATCAGCCCATGAGCAGCACGCCGAGAGAGTGGATGTGGCAGACCTGGGTTGAAATGGTTGTTTCATTGCTTCAGCGAACTAAGCTGGCTGACCCTAGAAGCCATATTTAACCTTTTTATGCTTTGGTTTCCTCAGTTGTAAAGAGGCTGGGATGCCATGAGGATTAAATGTGAAAATCCATATAAACTTAGGGCTTAGTGTGTAATATTGCTTAAGAAATGGCAATTGCTCTTATCAAACTAAGATGATAAAATGACAGTAATAGGAATTTCTTGATTTGTATGACTGATTGATATTGGGGTGTGTGTGTGTGTGCGCACATGCGCACAGGCACGCAAAAAGAGAGGGAGGGGGAGGGAGGAAGAGAAAGAGAGACAGAAGTGGAGACACAGATTCTGAGGTTTATTTGGGACAGTAGAACTGGATGGAAGGGCCTGAGCTAGGTTATGTAAGTAGGTGGTAAATGATAACATGCAAGAAGGTGTGAGTAATGAAGCTCTGCTGTGTCTTAGTGGAATTCAAATCCAGCCAGACTGAAATCTTTCACATTCACAGTTCTCTGAGGAAACGCCATTTTCTTTGTCTTGGGGGAATTTCTTTACCTCTGAGCCTCTAGGATCTTCCAACATTTTCCCACTTTACTACCTATCTGACAACACTTAAATCTTTTCACAAGGTGCTCATTCTAATGGATGTTGATGTGGGAATGGTCAGGTTAAAATTATTTTTGTTCCAGGCCCCTGAGATAAATCATTAGTCCAGCATCAGGACTGTCAGCTCCTCAAAGGCAGGACCTAATTCTCCTCTTAAACACTGCCAGTGGCTTAGCACACGAGATAGCACCAGCAAACACCCAGTAATTTCTTGTTGACTGATGGGTAAGTTGTTGTTACTACCCATGTTTCTGGCACAACCTTCTAGAGCAAATAAAAAGGTCTGTTAGAAGACTGTTGACTTCCAGAGAGTTACTTGGAAACTGAGTAGGGAGTTTCAGGTTAAGAATGGGAAACAGCAGGAGTTCATTGAACACTGGCAAGAAGGTAGGGACTAGTTGCCTCAAAGGGCACCTAGAGCTATTATCTCATTATCTAAGCTGAGAGCCACAGCCTGGGCCAGATTCTTTAATCTCTGTGGGCTGTGCCCATTGAAGCCAAGGAGAGTTGTCAGGTGCGCGAGAGTCTGGCTGCAGTTCTCAAGTATGTCGCTGTTCTGGGGGAAATGCTAGCATCGCAGAGAACTAGGTCACTTGCACCCAAAAGATAGGTCTGACAAAACTGGAAGAGGTGATCACCTCCCTGGCATCGTTTTAGGATTTTCTATACAAGAAGGCCTGTGGGCAAGGAATCTCACAAATTGGATCCGTGGTGCCAGATTTAAAAAGTCACACTATGGATTAAGGATCTGTTTCACAGAAAGCCCCCACCTGAATGGTTAGTTCTTCCCTGGGTGCACTTAATACCTCATGTCATTAGTAGCCAGAGAGTAGTTAGCATGAATGTTGATCTGTTTTCACTGACAGAGAAAGACTACGCATCAGTGGAAATAAAATGTAGGACAGGAAAGTTTTTATGGAGGTGTCTATGGAGACAGATTGGGACAGAGATGTCAAGGCTTTGCTCCTGCCAGGAAGGGCAAGTATAGATAAGGTGAGGAGCCTTGGGTAAATAAAAAAGGGGTGTCAATAGAGAGGACAGAATACAGAGGGGGCAGATCTCACACTTGGTCAACTTCATCATTTTGCCAAGAACTGAATGTTGGAATGCTTATGTATACAGCACCAGGAGCAGATTTTTAAGCTGTGTATGAATGAACCAAGGTGATATTTTAATAACGAAGCAAAGTGATGAGCTGCACACAAAATCAAATTGTTCTCTGCAGACAGAAATCAAAGTGTAGCCAATGAAGCCGTGAAATTCACTGTGTTTCATGATCTCAGAACTAATATATGACCCTGATTTGCTATAGCTTTTTTTTTTTAAGATTTATTTATTTATGCAAGAACTGGGGTACAGGCCAGAGGCACGGGAGGGTGAGAGAATTCATCAGAGACAGAGTGGGGAGCAGAACAGGCAGACTGACTGAAATACACTGCTGAAGGGAGCAGCGGGTATGACAGGAGAGGTCTGCCTCGCCATGTGGGAATCTCCCTGGCCGGCTGGGAATCGAACCTGCACTGCAGAGGCCGTGGACAGCTTCACAGCGCTGCGCTCAACCTGATGCGCCACCGGGGAGGCCCTGCTATAGCTCTTTAAATGACCTGAAAAGTTTAACCCATTTCTCAGCTCCTCACACATCCCTGCTCTTAAACAGTGGAGTCACATCATTTGTATATTTAGCTTATTTGAATGTAATTATAGGTGCTCCCTTCTGTCTCTGTTTTCCCTTTTGATCTTATGTAATTTAAAATATTTTAAAATTATATTTCACAGTTGTAATTTCTCTCAATTTTTATTACTAAGGCAATAGCTGATCATTGTACAAAATGGGAAAAACAGAATATTTGATTCAATATTTTTTAAAAAGTGGGTCACATGATTTGATCTATAAATTGAGTCCTTCCTCCTGCCTTCCCTCCTTCCCTCCCTCAATTCCTCCTTCCTTCTCCTTCATCCCCTCTCTCCCTTCCCGCCTTTCCTTTTTCTTCTCTTCTCTTCTTTCTTCCTGCTCTTCCTTTTCCACCCTCCCTTCCTTCCTGCCCTTCCTTATTTTTCTCTCTTTTTCAGAACAACATTGAAAAAAGATGAGGCTTATTCTTGATGAATTAATAATGAAGTTGGGAATGCACTAAGTAGATACCTAGGTCTGCGCTAATTACTAAGGGAGGCCCAAGCTCTAAGTCAAGGAGCTAACCAATTATTTATTACTACGCTGCAGAGAAGGGCTTGGGGAAGTATATCGCAGACTCAGTGCAATAGCAAAGCAATTTTGTTAAGTGCCAAATGAATGACATGGACAAAAGGGTTCTGTGGGCATTCAGCAGAGGACAAAAATTCTGTTCCTCAAAACTGGCTCTCCTCCTGCCCACTATCTAAAAGCACCACCATCTCATGCAGTCTTTGAAACCAAAAGCTAGTAGTCAACCATGAATCCTTTCTTTCTTTTGTATTCCATAGTCAATCAATTATCTCCCACTTCTGCTGATTCTTTGCTCAAAATGAATTTCAGCTCCACCCACTTTTTTCCATCTCTTGCCAAGGCTAAGCTGCCATCATTTCTCACCTAGAGGTATATAATTGTCTTTTGGTTTCATATCTCTCACTCTTGTACCACCCTCCATTCTCTAGGAAAACTAAGATCATGTAACTCCCCTACTCAGAATCTTCCAGTGAATTCCCAGTGCAGCCAGAATAAAATCCACATTCTTTACCATGGCTCCTGTCCATACTCCATGGCTATGATTTGGCTTCTGTCTACCCAACAGTCTCCTCTCAGGCACTAGAAACCTCCTCCTACCCGTTAGCCATATTTAACTTCTTTCAGCTCCCCAATCATGCCGAACTCTTCCCAGCCCCAGGACCTTTCCACTTGCTATCTCACTGCTTGAAAATCCTTTCATCTGCTCATCACATAGATGACTCCTAATCCTTTAGTTCCCTGCTTAAATGCCTGTTCTCGATGAGGCCGACAACTGAGAATACTTTTAGAATGAGGTCTGATTCATTAGTACCTGTCTCTTTGTTCTCTTCATAGCCTCTTATCAAAATGTGTAATTGTTTTACTTGTAGGCTTGATTTTTTTTCTCTATTGTTCTCATGAGGAAAATAGGGAAGAGTAGGAACCAGGTCTATTTTGCTCATCACTGTAACCCCAGCACTTATTGGATGGATGAATGAATGAGTAAAGTGAGTTCTGAAAAATGTTGATGACTGAGGCATAATTATGTTGAGTCTTGAAGAATAGAATATTTTTTCCCCAATGGGAGCAATGAAAACCATTGAAAAATTTAGACCAAGGTCATTGTGCAATTTTTTCTTTAAGAAAAAATTTTTCTTTACTTATGTATACATACAAGAGCTGGGATACGTAGTCCAGGGGGGCGGGCATGAGAGGATTTACCAGAGACAGAGTGGGGAGCAGAACTGGCAGATCTACTGAAATACACTGCTGAGGGGAGCAGCGGGCAAGACAGAAGAGGTCTGCCGCGCCATGTGGGTCAGCTCCCTGGCTAGGATCGAACTCATGCAGCAATGGCTAGTGATAGCTTGAAAGTGCTGAAACTTAACCCCTGGTGCCACAGGGAGGCCCCCATGGTGCAATGTTGTAAGAAGACTTTATGAGGGGGAAATTAGTATAAAAAAGTATTTCTTAAATAGAGCAGATTAGTCCCACTAGCTAAATG